GCAAGACACAAGAGGAAAGGCTAGGGAAAAAACGCCCCTGGGGACCGGCGCTGGGATCTCGTGGGGGCGGTGCCAAGGAGCGAGGACGTGGGAGGGTGGGTGGAATCCGGATTCCCGATTGCCGCCTCCCGCCGGTGCTTGGTAAATGGCAACCAAGTTAACGAAAGGAGCTCGTGGAGCTTTTCGCGAGGATCATTCATTATGATTGTATCGCCCTGCCGCGAAGCCCACCCTTGCTCCTCTGCTCACGTCCTCTCCATCCTTGAAATGATGGTTCACGCTCAGACGGAGAGATAATAGCTAACGTGTTGGGGACAACAAAAATGAGCGGAGCTGTCCTAAGTGCCTTACAGAATTTAAGTAACGTGTCACACTTCTTGCTAGGAAGTGGGGAAGCTTCAGTTTCATCCAAGTGATTTGACTTATGAGCCCCAGCTTTTAGCTACATGGCAGACTGCTTTCTTTCTCCAATGTTCCAGAATCCACTTTTTTCTTCCACTCATCCGTGCATGTCATCCAACATCCTCTTATATTGAAGTGTTTAATGTATGTATGTATCATCTCCCGGGAATTATTGTAGGTTTCCTGAACATGGGGACATGTCCTAAACTTCCCCATGTCCCCCTTGGCACCTGCTGAGGAGCTATTGTACTGCCTTGCACATAGACATATGAAATCCACAATAGCTCAATGGAATGGAATGAGTTTAAGTGGTATCCAATACATAGATACATTGGTTGAGGTTGGAAAATGCTTTTGGAACTTAGACTGCATTTTCCCAAAGAAAATGTATGATAAATGGCTTTCTAAGGCAGCTCCTCTTCAGCGCTATTTCTGCTTGTACCATCTTTTATTCCAAAATCTACTAGGGAATCTAGATGGGCTCCATCTCGGTGGCTGAATTTGAGATGAGTAAACCACCCCAGGGACCCTGCTCAAGGACTGCTTCTGCTGCCAACAACCCACCCTGGCCAAGAGAGAGAAGAAGGCATTTTGATCGCCGCCCAAGGGAGCACCTCTGCCATCGAAAAGCTGCCTCAACCCCCGGCATCGGCAGAGCCACAGCCTGACTACCACTAGCAGCTCACCTTCTTCCAAAGACACCTCTCTGGATCTCAGTGCCCTCATTCGTGGAATAAGACCTCGGGGCTAGATCCTTTCCAAGGTAGGACTGTTCTTTGCTTGGGTCATTTGTGTGGGTCGGTCAGTGGCTAAGCAGGCGATTAGAGTGTGGTACATTCCTAAAATGTTTGTATTGGTATGTTTTGACACAAAGAGCACTGAATTTCAAAAAGCAAAGAAAGAAATCTCAAACTTTGTGCAACTTGGAATAACCAGGAGCCATGCTGAATAATCCATTAGTAAATGGATATACTGTACTATATGTGTGTTTCCCAAGCCCTGGGGTTGTTAAAAGGTTATACGGTGATTTGATCTATAGTGGTAAGCAGCTATGTTTTTCAAATGGCCAAGACAAGGGACCTCTTGTTTTAATCAATATCTTATATAGGAGCCCAATGTATATATAAAAAATACACACACACACACACACACACACACACACAATATACACAGAGTAATTTATGTATTTATCTTAATAGCCCAGATTAGAATAAAATCAGGGATTGAGACCAATGAGGCTCTTTTGATGAACCCATTGGGGCTCACCATCCCCTTAAATCAGCCTCAGGATCCCAGGTTACTTTTGTATGTTGTTTTGGTTTTACAGTGTCAAGAAAATGCTGATTTACATGGCTAAGCAGAAATCTGTTACTCCTACAATTTTACATCCAGCCTTTTTAAAGGCCAACACACAGCTACGGTCTCATTAATCAATGACACATTTACAGGAAGTTCTAATATATGCAGAGATGGCAGGGGAAACTAAACACTGAAGTCTGCATTCAAACAGGTAACGTAGAGCAGATTAGTGCATCATTAATTTCCATTGTGATAAAATTTGAATATAAACACATTTGGATATGTATGTGTTACAATTGAAAATATACCAACACCCGAAAAGTAGAAGTTAACCTCACCAGTCATGAGACACACTGATGTCATGAGTGGTGTGATGAGTGATGTGAGTTCCTAAAAAAGACGTAACATCCCCTACCTCCTAAAAATGTGTCCACTAAATCTAACCACGAAGAAGCATCAAATAAACCCCCATTAAGGGGCATTCTATAAAACAACCAATCTATACTCTTCAAAAATATAAATGGCATGAAAAACAAAGAAAGGCTGAGGCACTAGGCCAGGTTAAAGGACCCCTAAGAGACACCACAACTAAAGGCAATGTGTGGCCTGGACTGAATCTCAAACTAGAGAAATGTAAAGGGCATTATTGGGACAATGGGTGAAATTTGAATGTAGACTTTCTAGTAGATAGTAGTATAGCTAGTGTCATAGTTTTCCTGAATTTGATAATTGTACTGTGATTCTATTAGAGAATGTCCTTGTTCCTAGGTGACACCTAAAGGGATAAAGGGTATGATTTCTCAAATTGTTTGGCAAAGACAGTATGATACAATAATAATAATAATAATAATAATAATGATAATAATAATAAAAGTGTGTTGGATATATATATATATGTAGGTAGATATAAATGAATAAAGCAATTATAACAAAATGTTAAATGGTGAATATAGTTACAGAATATATGGGTGCTTTTTAAAAGTACTGTTCCTGTAACTTTTCTGTAAGTTTGAGATTTTTTCAAAATATAAAGTTAAGAATCAAATAACAATTTAAATAACTGTTCAAAAATCTTTAAAAAGTTTATTTTAAAGACTCCAAATAACATGTTTTAGAACGTCACATCAGGAATTTGCAGACCTTCCAGAACTGAAAAACCAGCACATGCTTTGAAAACTCGGGTACAGAATATCTGTTAGCTCTGGTTGCCATAGATGTGGTAGGAGATTATAAACACTGAACAGACAATTCTAAAAACAAAATAATTTAAAGTTTACCTTAGTCATCAAATACGGCCATGTGCTGCAGAAGGGGTACTTCCTAGTCTTTGCCTGAAATTCCCTTCCCTGTTGTCATGCCTCACCTCGACGGCCCAGCTAACTTCTGCTCCTGCCTTCGATCTCAGCCTCAACATCATTTTCTCTAAGAAGCCTTCCCTGATCCCCTAAGCCAGGCTTGGCCGTCCCTCCTCTGTGTTCCCACAGCATCCTGGAAGTGTCATCTCTGTGACAGCACTGAATGCACTTGAGCCTGTTGACCACATCTCTTATTAGACTGTCAGGGCCATGAGGGCTGGAAGCTGTGTCTGTTCTGTTCTTGGATATAACTCCGGCACCCAGTGGCACAGCGCCTAGGGTGTGAAGCTCTGAAGAAACACTCGCTCTATACATGAATACGGAATGGTCTGTGACTCAATGGCTTTTGTCATGTGAGGTTGTAAATCCACCCCCCTTGGTGGAGTTTCTGCATTAAAATCAGTCTTTGTGTGGCATGTATCTCATACTCATCTCCTGTCCCTGGAAGCAGCTCTCAGGGCTGTGTTCACATTTCCCCTGGGGCCAGGCCTGCACACTCTATGTTCACACTGAACAAAAGCTGTTGTTCTGAAAACCTTTCTGCAGTTGACAGCTGCCGTAGAGCCTATGCTCTAGGTTATCCATGAAAATCAACTCTGAGTTTTCCACAGCCAATGTTTTCTCCCATTCTACTTTCCCAGAATGCTTCTGGGCTGCCCCACCTTCCCTTTCTGTACCAGGTGTTCTGCATCTGCAAAGACAACTCATTTCAGCAGGAGTCCTGCAAGACACAAGAGGAAAGGCTAGGGAAAAAACGGTCACACAGCATACTCGAAGGGTGTTTTACACATTTATTTTCTAAACCCCGGTCATTCTAGAGCAGAAGTAGAAAGGCAAATTTATGTTGCAAAATAACTTCATGATGCACTCACAACCATATAGAGATGATATGGAATTCTCTGCCTTAGATATTATTCAAGACATACACTTCTTCCTTTTTCATGCATAAGGCTGGCTTGAACTAAGAATGCAACATCAAAGACAGCATGTATGTTCTCTATGGTTTCTGAAGCCCAAGTTTTTTAAAGTAGAAACGCACCCAACAGTTGCCTGCCTGGTGTCATTGATAACTCGCCCACCTGTGGACCCCTCTCCCCCGCTTCCTCACCCTGCCTTTCACCGTATTGACATCTCACAGGTCTAAAGGAAAGGGAGTTTTCATAGCAGAGATCACTGTCATAAACCATAAGTCCAGAACAGGATTTAAATTTTTCATCTTCTCACCTCTAGCAAGTAAAGACAGAGAATCAGCCAGCCAATTACTAAAGATCTGGTTCTGGGTTCCAGGAATTTCTTTCCCCACTGTCCCTGTAGCCCAGCTGTGCTTACTTGTGATAGTGTTGGGTTGGGGACAAATATCTTTCCTTAGCTCTTTGGAATGGCTGATAAAGCAGACAGAGCTCCTTTTAACGTATCAAGCTAAGCACAGAGGAAGTTTGGAGATACCAGCTGAAGTGGGGAGGAGATGGAGGAGGAAAAGGAGAAGGAAGGGGCTGCCACTGCTAGGGTCTTGGGGCAGCAGGTGGACAGTAACAAGGCACTGGTTCTCAATGGTTAGCTTTCATCACCCTTTGATGAGAAAACGCATGGACTTTCTCTCCCAAGGCAAATGTATTAAGCACATACACAAAACAGCTTGCACGTGGAGTCTTCCCCCACACCCCTACCCAAAATAACCTGTCTATGGATCCCAAGGTAAGAACCCCTGAGCTAAAGGAAGGGTTACTTCATAGGTCCTCATCATTGGGGAACAGAGAAGAATTTAAGTAAGTCATCACTGGCAGTATCCTGTGAGTCACTAGCCGGGGACTGTCCCAAGAGCACATCCTCCTCTGTGGGCAGAGGATCCACAGATGTAACGCCATAGGAAAGACAGTCAGCTGGTGGAGGCAGACGCTGCCTGGGACGGCCTCCAGCATTTTTTCTGCCTATGACAACATACTTTCTGACTATAAACATTTCACCGGAATGTATCATCTTTGCTAATTATGTAGGTGCTGATGACACTGAGGTGGAGTTGGCTGTTTGGGCATGTCCCTACACTTCCTAGGACAGGTGCCATGCACTACTCATCCTTTTATTTTGAGCCCTCAAGCTGTGCCTTGGTGTCCCTCAGGTATTTCTTGAATAGAACAGGTGAATTAATTGGTGGGTTAGTTGATTAGTAGATGTGTGTATAGATCCAGTAGTGGTATATTTTGAGGAGCATGTGGCATTTCTCTAAGCCCAAAGTTAGGACACCGCTAAGTCTCAAACTGTTTTGGCCACTGGAAGTAGCCCCAGAGCTAGGAAATGTGGGCGTGCGATAGGCAAGCCAAAAGGCACATCCCCAGTCAGTTCATGGATTGATGATATCTTAAGGCAGGACGTCTCAAACTTGAAAGTGTATAAGAATCGCTTGGGTCTGCACAGCCAGCTTTATTTGTGAAACAAGGAAATAAAAGCTTACTTCTCTTAAGAAGAAAAGAATCACGTGGGAACTTGTTAGAAATGCAGAGTCTCAGGAGCCATCCTTGACCGAGTGAATCAAAACCTGCACTTTGACAAGATCCCTAAGCGAGGCTGCTGCTGTCGGTGTGCAGACCAGAGTTTGAAGATTCTGAGGAATCTTCGTGGTCCTATAATCAAACATACACTTCCTCTACAGTTGGGGAAACTGAGTCTCAGGAACAGCAATTGACTTTGACTAGGTCAGAGTGAGGCACTGGTAGAGCTGAGGCCAGAACTGACAACTTCTGATTTGGGTAGCGGGTCATTTCTGCCACCCAACGTGGACGTCTGTGTATTTGTGAGACAATGTGCACGAGGAGGAGTAAAGAGAAGAAGGGAGGACATCCTAGACCTCCTCTGAGTAACCCCAGCACTATACCCTACTCTAAGTCGGGGGCTGATGTCCTCCTTTTCCACATGCCCTTTTTATCCTCTTCCAAAAGCTTGGAGTAGTGGTTAGAGAAGATATTGCTCGGGGTGGGGAAAATTCCAATTCCTTTCTTGCCTCCAGCTTGACAAAGTAGTGAGTAGTCAGAACTAGTATCACCCACCAGTAACATTGTGTTAGTGTCTATAGAATTGACATTCCAGGAAGAATGTGACATCATACTCAAAGTGACATCTTCTAATTTGCCTCCCAAATCCCCTTTCCTCCTGCCAGTCTCCCAGAGTTTCTCAGCTGGTGAGATGCAGCATCACCCATCTCCTAGCATTAAGATCTTGAAATAAATTGACATTAAAATGCACAGTGGGACCCTCTGACTTTTTCCAATTGGATTAATCAGATTATCTAGAGGTAGAAATAATAGCAGTACTTGTATCCAAATTCTGACAACCTAACCCTAAAGAAACGATACAGGGGGAAAGTTTCAAGGATTTAAAAGGAGAATCCACAGAACCTCAGAGGCCATGTAATCCAATATCCCACCCGATGCCTGAACCCCCAATACGATATGCTGAGGCCGAGACCTGCCTGGACCATTTGACTCATGAGCCCCCACCCCCCCCCCCCCCCGCCTCAATCCCCTGTAGACATCTCCACATAAAAGAAGATTCCAACTCCATTTCACTCAGCCTTACTCCTGAATCACTGCCCAGGCTCACTCCATGCCCTGTGTGCCAACCAGCTCCCAACCGTCCCGTCTTCTCCTCTTGTTACTCATTATTCCTATTTGTGAGCTTGATTTATCCTTTAGAGCTGATATTCCACCAAGAGAGGACCAGGTGGAAGGGAACTGTAACCCAGGAGGGAAGCCAAGGTCATAGCCAGTTAAGGAAGAGCCTCCTGTTTTTCTTGAGTTGGTCTGACTTGTAGAATTTCTACCCACAGAATCCTAACTCTGTTTCCTCAGATCTCTTGGAACTCTGCCTCCTCCGTTTCGAAGGTCTATGTCTGACGGTGCTTGTCCCCTAGCCATGTCACAGTCACTTTCTCCTCCTTTCCAAGTTCCTGTGCTTTTCAAGTCTCTAGTTAGCTCTTCTGTACTAAATAGGCTTGGGCTCAAGGCAGTCTTTTCCCCATACTTGGGAGGTTGTGGTGGTGCAGTGGCATCAAAACTTCAGGTCCCTGAACCAGAGGCTCAGGATGGGGGTTGAGGATCTTCATTTTAATTAGCAGCCCAGGAGAGTCTGATGCCAGTGGGCAGGGAGCCTAACCTGGAGAAATAGTGATGGGAATTTTGCTATCAGACTCACACCAGAGTTTGATTCCTAGCTCTGCAACTTACTACTTGTATGACCTTGAACAAACTAGCTCATCTGTATAAGCCTCAGTTTCCTTATCTTTATTAGGGAGACAATAAAACCCATCTCTGAGTAGTAAAACTATGAAATGATGACTATAAAGTACTTCATATAATTCAAAGCAGGTAGTAAGCACTCAGTAAATATAGGTTTGCATTGCTATTAGCGAAATTGCTTCCTTTGTCTCCAGGATAGGGAAGTTAGTAGCAGGTAATAATTTATTGCCTGTCCTTCTTAGCATGCTAAGAGTTCTAATGTCTGCCTGTGAGTCTTCTGATCACTCTATGAGTTTCTCCTGTGTGACTTTTGTGATTCCTGTTGGGAATTTATTACCATTTCTATGTATGGTCACGGGCCTTGCACTTGGGAAGGGATCAAAACTGGCAGAATATTTCTGAATGAGTTCATGCTATCTGGCCAGGACTTCTGTGCTACACACTCCCACTGCAACACCACATCTGTTCTTCTTCCCCTTTCCCCAGTGCTCTCCTCCTGACATTATAGTCCCGGGACAGTTCCCTCCTGCCCTGACCCTTCCCATTACCCCAGTCCAGTGAAGTGCGCCATCCCTTGATGATACCTGCCAGTTTGTATTTACTTCTTTGCATGAAAACTCCTAATGCACTGCATCATATAATATAAGCTCTGTGCATCCGTTAACATGTTTAAATAGAGACGTAACAAGAGATGGAGCTGGTGGAATGAGGAGTGGGGTGGGGGGTGGGACATGGCTTTGACACCCATGTCATAGGGAACCACTTTTGCCTTTCATAGAAGCATTCAGTTCAGCTTCTGTTGTGGTTGTTATCAAAGGATTAATTCAGAAGAATTAATAGGGCCTGCCCTATGGATACGTTACTTTCAAAGTTCTCCATCAGGAAACAAACACATGTAGCAACGGTGCAGAGCATTTACGTGTAGCTACAAGGGTGGTGGGGCTCTGATGTTCAGGTTTGGAAGGTGGTGGCGTGTGGAGTAGCAGCAAAGGCTCAGGGGCAGGTTTTGCCACATGTGCACTGTAGGTGACCCGGGCAAGTCACTTATGCCCTCTGAGATGCTTCTGTAAAGTGAGAATGATATTAATATCTTACCTCATAGTGTTGCTATGGTAATCAAATGAGATAAAGTATGTTAAGCACTTAGCATAGGGTCTGGGACATAGTTGGGCTCCATGAATGTAAGCTGACAATACCATTATCCATCAGTCTTCCCTCTGCCCCCCCCCCCAGGGCTTTGGTGGGCTCCTA